CAAACAAATGGGCGACGGCGACGGCGACGGCGATGGCTACGGCGACATGGACGAGACTTTAGAGCCGCTGACGAATGGAGCCGATGAGGTATTTCACTTTTCGGTGGCTGAGGACGCGGCCAGCGGCCATCTGATCGGCGTGGTCGAGGTTGAGGACGCCGATGAGCCGGCCGTCTCTTCGCTGTCTGGCCCCGAGGCGGAGCCGGTCGGCAGTGGTCATGACAACAGTTCTGCCGGTGGGCAGAAACGGTCGGGCGGTAGCCTACGACGCGGCAGCGGATTTGGCAGTCTCGTCTACCAACTGGAGCGTGGCAACGCATCGCGCGTCTTCTCGATGGACCAGCGGACCGGGGAACTGCGTGTCCGTCAGTCGCTGGACCGTGAGCAGCACAGCTTCTATGAGTTCCAGGTTGTCGTCGTGGACAACCCGTATCCACGCCGGCCGGCGTCTGTGCTCCAGTCGCCGGGCAGCCTCGACTGGCGTCGGCAGCACACCGTGACGGCGACAATCCGGGTCACGGTGCTCGACGTGAACGACAATGCGCCGGTCTTCGAGGCACCGCTGGCGGGACAAGAGTTTCTGCTGGAGCCAGGCAGCCTGGCGGCCAGCGCCGGGGCGACGGTGTTCGTGGTGAAGACGGCAGATCGTGACGAAGGCGAAAATGGTACTGTTCAGTACAGCCTCGAGATGGGCGGTCACGGTCTGGTGGAATTGGAGCCGACGACCGGCGTTTGCTACCTTCAGGAGACCCTGAGCTGGACGCGACTGCATCAACTCACGCCTCAACTCACCGTCGTCAACACTCCCATGACGACTGTAGAAGAGACAGAAGCAGCTGCCGACCACGGACGGTTGAGTGGAGGCGAAGAGACGGCTCGAACCAGACGAAGTTGGTTCAGCCTGACCCTGCTCATCCGTGCCTACGACCTTGGCCGGCCGGTCAGCTTGAACGCTTCGCGTATCGTCCGTCTCGTCTGGACGGCCGACAGAGACGCCAGCGGACCGGACGGCAGAGTCGTGGATGAAGAAGAGGAGGTGGACGAGCAAGAGGTGGCGGCGAGTTCGGCGCATCAAGCGAAGACGTCGGGACCGCGACGTCTGGAGACGGCGGTGCCGGGACGTCGCTTGGCCGAACTCTTTCCGGCCATTAGTCTCACCGAGAAGACGTTGGTACCAGTGCTTGTCAGCATGTTTCTTCTCCTCTCCGTCGCCTGCTGCCTCTTGCTTGGCCTCCTGCGCTGTCGCAACAAGACGTCGACGACACGGTCGACCGGTTCAAGACCGACCGAGGCAACAGCAAGGCCGCTGCCGACGGCGACGACGACGACGACG